GAGTCCACCGTCCACCAGAACAAAGGTTTCCCTGGCATCAGACTCACCACCGCAAGGACACATTTCCAGAACGCCAGGGATTGAACTCCGACCCCGTGCTAAGCAAGGTGCCGTGGTAAACAGAGTAAGTGCGATGGCATTTCCGGGAACTGGACACCAACTGCTGACCACTCAAGTCCCTGGTCGTCTGCAGAGAGGAGCCATCACATGTTGTTGAGGAAGGCTTTTTCTGTTATCTCAGGAGTCAGCAGATTCCCCAAGTGCTGTATTAGCCCTGCCGTTAGGGTTTCCACTCTTTCCTGCGGAAGATCGCCGAGGGGAGTTCAGGATTTCTGAAAACGGGGCTGTGGGCTGGGAATAAAACGTCATGAAAAATGTTGTGGTGGTCCGATGATTTTGGAAAATACCGCAAGACGTAGCTCCCTCTTGGAAAGTTGCGATCCACATTAGCACATGTGAATTAGCATGGCAGTTCGCTAATTCACGTTAGCATAGGCTCTGAGAAGTCCTGCAATAAAGAAAGTCAGGTTGATTTTGTTTAATTCGGCCTTGCCTGGGTATGGATATACGCTGGCAATCTTTTTTTTTTTTTTTTTTTAATTCTCCCAAACCCAAAATTGAACGCATACCTCGTCCCGTTGTGTAGGTCATAAAGATTCTATTGCAAAAGCTGCGGCAGCTTTAACTAACAGGGACATTCGGTGCTGGTCCATGCACTTGACCTCCAATAACATAGCTATATAGGAAGACCATGTTGGATTGTCCCATCCAGTCCTGCCTTTAGAACCAGGCAAGAAAAGCCCCTATCTGGAACCTTAAGAGAACCTTGTATATCACATGTGCTTGCTGACGAACATCTGGGCATCTCCGTCACTCGGATCCAGTGCTCTGTTACTCTCGATATTCACTCCTGGGACTAACAGCATTCAGGCCCCGGGGAAATGTTTCTCCACACCTTATGTCTTCAAAAGACGGCTGCATCCGGGGCTCAGTGAAAGCCTGAGGCCGTTCTTTGGATGCAGGTAAGACTTGAGCTGCAAAATGCTTAGGTAAAAGAAAAAGACGAATGTTTTAATTTGTTAAATTCTTCCTCTCAGATCCCACACAGAGCAGGAGAGTCGTGGTTCTAAAAGCGCTAAAAAAATCAGCGTAGTTTTCACAACAACTGCACATAGTGTCTTCTGGGACATTTAAAAAGAGTAAACCATTTGTACTCTTTAGTTTTTTTAAAAAAATTTTTAGTGTTTATTTATTTTGAGAGAGAGAAAGACAGCACGCGAGCAGGGGAGGAGCAGAGAGAGAGGGAGACACAGAATCGGAAGCAGGCTCCAGGCTCCGAGCCATCAGCCCAGAGCCCGACGCGGGGCTCGAACTCATGGACCGTGAGATCATCACCTGAGCCGAAGTCGGCCGCCTAACTGACTGAGCCACCCAGGCGCTCCTAAATTGGGTTTTTAAATGAGCTTTTGTCCATTATCATTTTGATTTTGCCTTTTAATCTTAATAGATCATTTTGAGTATTTACAATTCTTTTTTAAGATCTTTTTTTTTTTTTTTTTTTTTTTTTTTTTTTTAAAGCCGTCTCCACACCCAGGGCCCAAACCCACAACCCTGAGATCGAGTCAACATGCTCCAAGCAACGGAGCAAGCCAGGTGCTCCAATTTTAGAAGAAAAATCACTTTCAAAACATGCAAAATAACTTTAATTTAAAAATGGTTAACATTGGCTTCAGTTTACCCTTAGGGTACATTTCTTGCAGTTTGAACACAACCGTCTTTTATTTTTTTTAATTCCTTGGATTATTGCGACTCAGTGTGCAGGTCTACAGATTCCTAAAGAGCATGTGTCAAAAGGTAGTCAACACACTGCGTCCTTCATTGAGAAAGTCTTGCCACGAAAAACAGGCTCAACTAAAACAACGGGCTGAAGGATCTAGATGGTTTTGATTCTGATGCAACCTCCTTATCTCCAGGCAGAGAGGTAGCAAAGAGCTCGCAGACCAGACCTCAGGGCATACTTTGGATTAAGGGTTGACAAAATTTTTGCAAAGGACAAGATGGTAATTATTTTAGATTTTGTGAGCCACTTAAGGTCTCTATCACATATTCTTTTTTTTTTCCCCATAACCCTTTAAAATGTAAAAACAATTCTGAGCTTGTGGGGCCCAAACTAAACCATACAGGCTGTCTTCGGTCCATTAGATACAGTTTGTTGACAGTTTAGCGCTGTCATTGGCAAAAAAAAACAAACCAAGACAAAAAACCGAGGTGCTTGGTGGCTGGTCAAGCTTAGCTGCGGTCCAGCTTTGGCTCAGGTCATGATCTCGCAGTTCTGTCTGAGCTCCCAAGATTGACCTGTGCTGATTCGAGCCCTCGGAGCCTGCTTCCACCAGCCCCTCTCCTCTGTTCTCCTGCTCAGGTGTGTGTAAGGTTGCCTGGTCTGTCTCTGGAAGTGGGTCACTTCAGAAGGCGAGTGGTTGTTATCCTGACTTACTGTCGACATTCAAGATCTGTCAGGATTGAGCCCCTGCCATGCCAGAGTTATTTGATTTATTTTTTTTGTTCTCACTCATGTTTCTGTCTCTCGTCCCCAAAATAATCAAACGTTTACTTAAAAAAAAAAAAAAATTAAAAAAAAAAAAAGAAAATAAACATTAAAAAAAAATTAAAAACAAACAAAAAGCCCAAACTTCCATTACGGCAAAATTACGTGAAAAAAATGTCGATTATAAAACATATGAATTTCCACAACAAATCTAATAATTTTAGGAAAAAATGAAAAAGAAAGTTACATATCATATATGGCATACATAAATATATGATAAGTTAAGGAATTATATCCACATTCATCTTACTTTTTCTTTTTTTTTAATGCTATTTATTTTGAGTATGTTTATTTTGAGCGCATATTTTTCTTATCCATGTGTCACCAGGTGAACCAAACAACAGATTACATGCTCACAATGAATTAAATTTGCTGTTTCTCTGGTATTTCTCCTACATATTAACTTAGTCCTGGGGGAAGCTTTCACAGCTTGAGTTAATATTTGCGATTTTGCCATTATGAAAAATTTTTTAATGTTTATTTATTTTTGAGAGAGAGTGTAGAGACACAGAGCATGAGCAGGGAGGGGCAGAGAGAGAGGGACAGACCGAGGCAGGCCCAGGTCTGAGGCTGTCAGCACAGAAGCCTGACGTGGGCCATTAGTCCTGTGAGGACGCGATTCGAGCCGGACAGACGCTTAACCGACTGTCAGAGCCACCCCAGGTGCCCCGTGATTTTTTGCTAATATAAAGATAGATTTGTCATGTTAAGAGGCTAGGTCATGTATCTTAAATAGTTTGTTGGGTTTCAGTGATTATTATTTAAACATTGAAATACTTTTAGAATAGTTAAGATATAAAAGATTTAAATATATTTTTTAAATGTTCATTTATTGTGAGAGCGAGAGGGAGAACGGACATGCTGCGGAGCGGGGGATGGGCAAAGAGAGGGAGAGAGAACTCCTGCCGGCTCCAGGCTGTCGCCCAGAGTTCGAATGGGCGCCAGCCCCACAACCGGTGTGAGCCGCATGACCTGAGCCAAACTGCGGGTCGTGGATAACCGCCTTCACCAGCCACCGTGTGGTGCCCGCTACAACATTTTTTTTTTTTAATTTTTTTCACGCTTTTTATTTATTTTGGGACAGAGAGAGACAGAGCATGAACGTGAGGGGTGTGCAGAGAGAGAGGGAGACATAGAACAGGAGTCCTGCCTGGAGCCATCAGCCTGAGCTCCGTGGGGCCTGAATCCTGGACTGGCGATCGACCTGGCTGAAGTTGATCGCTTAACCGACTGGTGCTTACCCAGGCGCCCTCAAGCAAGAATATTGAGACAGCTATTTGATTTGTCCCAGGCCTGTTTTCCAGAAAGGTGTCTGTCTTTCTTTAAGTAAATATTGCATTCATGCTACAGGAAAACACAGTTGTGTGCTTTCTTTCGAGAAACGAGAGCTGTCCTGCACCGTCCTTCAGTGGGACTATTCTGACATGCTGTCCTTGTCGCGGGCAGGTATGTTCCAGCCAGGCAATATTTTTTTTCTCCGCCCGTCCCAAGGAGATCTGGGAACCGTTTACCTTACCCAGCAGTAGGGAGATGTGTGGAGTTTGTAGGTAATAAACTGCGGCAAAGCCAACTTTCCAGGTGATCAACTACCTGGTGAGTGTGCAGATCTCCACAGTTTGGTCAAAATGTATCAGAATTCAAGAGCGTCAGGCCTGCACCTACTTGCCAGTCAGCTGTGTTCCCTGAATTTGGACCGGTCCTGCAAAAGCCAGGTCACTTCCTGCGGCTGGACGATGTTCA